AAAGTGCTCATTACTAGTTTCATGACTTCTAAGTCTGTTGCCCATATTCTTCCAATCTTTCAATCCATCAGTAGCCAAATGAACATTGTTCCCATCTTGCAACAAAAGCAAAACACTATGTCTGAAGCATCTGAATATACTAGCCACTTCCTATCCTGCTTCTCTCCATTTTGTAACTGTCGCATGTAAAATGTAGAAGAAAAATGCCTATCTCTGTCATCTAGGAGAAAATTCACACCATTACCTCTTATGGGACCTCTTTCAACTAGTAAATCCCTTAAATTTTGATCAATCTTGTCCCAGTTACTAGGGTCATAAATGTTTAGAGGTCCACATTCAACATTCACATCTTCACTTTCATTAGATTCTACATTCCCCAAATCTTCATTCTCATTCTCATTGTCATTCTCATTCATATGTTCACTAGGTTGTTCAATAACCAAATCATCATTCTCATTATTACTCACACAATGAGTAGGCTCTTCAATTACCAAATCTTCATCATTGTCATTTGAACCCAAAATATCTACTTGTTTCTTGGTACCAAAATATTTATCAAGTGCTCCCGATTGAAATTGAATTAATTGTTCTACTTTCATCCTCTTCTTTCTCTTTTCATTTCCAGAACTATACTTCCTAGGAAACATGGCTATAATCACAAACACTTCAATCCACAAATCACAAACACTTCAATCTACAATTCACAATCCACTGATCTGATAGCAAATAAATTATAAAAAAATAATTTAATGAAACAAAATTAGGGCAAACAAATTATTCAATTAAAACTGATAAATACCTAGGTAAAAAAATTAGGGCTAAATTATTTATTCCACTAAAATCTAATGGATAAAGAAGGTAATAAAAAAATTATGGCAAATTTATTATTCCACTAATTGATAGAGAAAGAATATAAAAAAAAAATTAGGGCAACTTTATTTAATAAAATCTGATAGTGAGAGAGAGGACTTACATGAGAGAGAGTGTGTGAGAGAGAGAGAGTGAATCGCCGGAGGAAAAGTGTGTGAAAGAGGGAGAGTGAGACTATGCTATGCTATGCTCTTCGTCTACCTGCCTTCAAGAGGGAGAGTGATTCACTTCGTTTTGTTAAACAGAGATTGAAAACTGAAGCACTTCGTTTCATCACTGCTATGCTATTGTATATTATATTTGTATGTATGGTTTGGGTTGGGTTGGGCCCAAACACATTTTGGGCCCCTTTAAATACATTTTCAGTTTTGGGGCCCTTTAAAGCCTCCAAAGTTGTTTTCAGTTCCACACCACATAAACTTTGGGTTGGGCCCAAACACATTTTCAATTTTTTTTTTTTTATTTATATATTTTCATTTTAATAAATATGGGCCAAACACATTTATAAATAAATATGGGCTAAATTATACACAGGCCCAATAAAACATTTGGGGCCCTTTAAATTGATCTTAAAACCAAAAAAAAAAAGAAAAAGATTGGGCCTATAACATTTTTTTTTTAAATTTGGAGGCCCTAATTTTGGACCAAAATTTGGGGCCTAAGGCACAAGCCTTACCTGCCTTAAGGCAGGGCCGGCCCTGGCTAGTGGGCAGTGGGATTGGTCCCCTAAGGATTAGTCGAGGCGCACAAGCTGGCCCAAACACCCTAAGTTATCCAAAAAAAAAAAAAAAAAAAAATTATGTTAAACAGATTGTGGACATTATCTTGAGACAAGGTGTTTTTGAAATTGAATTTACAAAATAAAATACACAACCATTCACTTTTTCTTCTTTTTTTCCGTCCTTTCTTTTCACAAAATAAAGATCCAAACTCTAAAAATTGCAAAATTAGTAGGTTGAAAAAACTAGATAATTAATAAGCCAACTGATGTAGAATATAAGAAACGCAAGAAAAGCTAAATTTAATGTAGGAATTATATTTAAATATTGGCATGATTTCAAAGAGATCCTAATATTATTAAAGCCTTATTTTATGATTAATTTTATATTTTTACGAATTTTTAAGATAAGGGTATTTTGATAATTTTCATTATTGTTGTCGTGGATTGTAGTTGCCCATGGATATCTTGTGGATCAAGTTATTTAATTAAGTTTTATTTATATTTCTTAGTCGTAAATTAGTTTTGGAAATCTAAGATATTATAGTAGTTTCTTTTTTCTTTTCTTTTTTTTCTAGTTAGTTTAGAAAATTTCTAAAGTTTATATAAAGTTATGTAATACTTCTAATTAAATAGAGTTAATATTTTAGAATTTTGATTTGAAAAGTTATAAAACTTTCTTATGGATTGTGTGATGCAACCCTAAAGTCTCTATAAAGTCATCTATCTTCTTCTTTTCTGTTAAAATCCACCTACTCTCCACCTACTTCACCCACTTAAACCTACTCCACTAAACCTAACCCACTAAATCCACATACTCTCCACCTACTTCACCCACTTAAACCTACTCCACTAAACCTATTCTCGGATTACTGTTCATAGCCCTCTAAAAGTGGATTTTACAACCTCTAAACCTTATCCAATCACCCTCAAATCAATTCTAATCCTTTCTTCTATCTATTAGCCTTCAATTTAACTCTTAAAACTCTAAAGTACATACTGTTTTAAAACTCTAAAGTACACACTGTTTAGACCATCAAATAGCCTCTATTTTCACCCTAATAGCACTGCCTGCATCAATTTGGTTTGGTATCAGAGCTTAAGGTTCCACCATGATGTTTTCACATTGTGAGAGATCCTATACAAGTGGATTGACTTGGGAAGACAAGCAAGGAACTTCTTCAAGAAAAAATTTGTCTAAGAGATCTTTAAGATGATTTTCTTGATCAATTATATGCACTTGAGTAAGGTAATATGCATGTGATTGATTATGCAAGAAAATATAAGGAGTTATTTATCAAATCTAGAGTTGTTGAAAGTAAATGGATGATTATTGCTCGTTTCTAAAGTGGATTGAGATTTGGAATTAAAAATGGGATGCCTCGTGCATATTTAGAAGATCTCGAAGATGCTATTGAAACGGTTATACAATTTGAATTTTTTGTAACATTTAAAGAAAAATCTATTGTTTTGAAACTTATGCAGAATTCTAAGGCAGTTCAACAAGACCTGCCAACAAAAACTCCAAAATAAAGTGTTAAAGTGCCACAAAAAGATGCTGAAAATTTACAGTAAGATGCGCCAAAACCAGATGTTCTTAGAGATCAAAACCCCATACAATTAAAGTTGCAAGACAAAAATATGTTCAAAATCAGCTTAAAGAGAATGATTGGCAGAATGAAGGATGAGAAGCCACTAATTGAAGCTCCATGTATTGAACTCGAAAAGGCAAAAGGTGAAATCAAAGAAATTGTCAATTCTTATGCTCGAGAGCAATGAATCGAAAAGAGAAATTACTGGTCTAGAGCATATAAAACCTTTAGAGGTCATGACATTGCAATTCAAAGTCTTCAATGACTTTGCTCCAATCACGATGTGTGAATGGTCCAAAAGTGAATCAAAAGATGACCTTGTATTGAGAAAAGAGGTTAAAAAGCAAGAAATTGGGGTTATTATTGAAAATATCAAAGAAAACTTAACAAAAATTGATTTGGATCAATTCAATGATGTGATTTCTATGTCAATGGACTTTGTTATTCTAGAAAAATTTAGTGGCAAGATTGAAAAGATCAATCTCTCACTATTTTTGTTGTCATCTTCGATGAAGGAAAGGTGGCATCAACTTGAAAATTTTAGTGCGAATCTATGGATGCAATTTCAAAGCTTGTGGATTCTTATACTCCAATATTTCAATATTCGAGATCAAGTTTTTTCCAACCAAGGGAGAATGATGCAGAATATAAGAAGCTTAAAGAGGGCTAAATTCAAAGACGGGACAATATTTAGATATTGACATGATTTCAAAGAGATACTAATAGGAATTTTATATAATAATTTTTCTAGTATTATTAATCTTATTTTATGATCATTTTTATGTTTTCTAGAATTATTAGATCAAAGGTATTCTTGTAAATTTCATTTATTGTTGTCATGAATTGTAGGAATCACTCATGGGTCATCTTGGGGATCAAATTACTTAACTGAGTTTTATTTATATTTCTTACTTGGTCTTAAATTAATTTTGAAAATCTAAGATATTATAGTAGTTTTATTTTTTTATTTTTATTTTTTATTTTTGTTCAAGTTGGTTTAAAAAGTCTCTAAGGTTTATATAAAGTCATGTAATGCTTCTAATTTAATAGAGTTGATATTGTTTTTTACCCTAACCCTAGGTGTGATGCGTAAGTGATTCTGAGAGTGATTCTTAAATCTATATTCTACTTCTCTTTTTTTTTTGTTCTTTTCTATCTCAATTACTATTCTCGGATTACTGTTTACAGCTCTCAAAAGGTGCATTTTATAACCTCTAAGCCCTAGCCAATCATCCCCAAGTCAATCCTAATCCCTTCTTCTATCTATTAGCCTTCAATTTAACCCTTAAAACTCTAAAGTACACAATGTTTAGGCTGTCAAATAGCCTCTATTTTCACCCTAACAGCATTGTCTTGCATCAATTTGGTATCAGAGCGAAGATTCAAATATGGCTACACAATCGGGGAAACCTTCTAGAGGGAGATAGACTAATAATCAACATGAAGAGATCCTCTTAAAAATTTCGAAGTAACTTGATAATTGTAATCTTCCTATCAGTGCATTGGAAGGCCAAACAACTAAAGCTGCTAATGGCACTGCAACAACTGGAGAACAAGGAGAAAAATCTAAAATTAATAATCATAAAATAAGACTCTAATAATACTAAAAACATTATTATATAAAATTACTATTAGGATCTCTTTTAAATCATGTCAATATCCAAATATCATCCATTCTTTGAATTTAACCTTCCTTGAGCTTTTCTATTATAATCTCTTTGAAATCATACCAATATTCAAATATTATCCCTTTTTGAATGTAGCCTTCCTTGATCTTATATTCTGCATCACCGGCATTCATCAAAATCACTCAAAACTTCTATTGACTTCCTCAAAATCCTCTTATGATATATGATTAAATAACAAGAAAACAATTGTACATTTACTGCCATCCCTTACCACAGTAATCGAAATTTCAGTTGGAATCTGCAACATCCCTTCAATGTACATACAACCATGGACACATCATGAACATATGCTGGACAAGCATTTAAGGGGATATGACATATACCGATACAAATTCATTTGCTTAGCCAGTAAGAGTTGCAACATACTCATCCAGTTGGCAAGATCTATGAACAGGCTAACCCCGTGATTTGTTCCGGTGAGGCAACTACAGGTTCCCAGCTTTGTCATGTTTCAGCTATTGACACGTCTGCTGAGGTATCCTCGGCTTTCACTTTCTCAGGAACAAAATCTAAAAAGCATAAGCAGTAATAAAACATGCCAAGTCTAAATAGCGGCTATTTTAAAACGTTTGGCAATATCGGATATTCAAATGTGAGTTGTAAAATACAAGGGTAAAGATACCTGCAAGAAAATCAAATCTCCTTCGCTTGCTAACAACCGAGGCTGAAACAACATAAAGGAAGAATCTCAGTATAAGCATGTAATAGCATTTTTAGCACAACTCTAAACGAATATATTACAACCAATCTGATTAAAAATAAATTAGAAAAGTCAAAAAAAAAAAAAAATTATTTGAAAGCTTTGTGACTAGTATAGACTAATTAGTTTAAAAGCTGCTTCGAATTTGATTTCTATCAAAAACTGAACATGACTCTTGCCCAGTCAGTTTCAAATGCCAAGTAAAAGAATTTTGTTATGTGGCTATAGGTTTCAAAGAACTCCACCAGGGTTGTTAACAATTCCACCAGTCCCAAGCCCGGGTTAAGGAGGAGGGTTGTGTGTTAGATAACCGACAGCCAACACGTAAAAAAGCCGCTCGGATCCCTTATGACAATTAATCCTACTTTGAATCGTTTAAATGCTAGGTCGTTACCCTCAAGTGACGCGTTGTGCCTGCCTCCGAGTGTTTTGAAAAGTGAGCAAAGGGCGCTGCATTGACGCTTGGGTGCGGTGAAAAATGGACAAAGGTTCTCGCGTTTTTCTGGACAAGCGCTGGTAAAGAAACTAGTCCAAAACTATAGGTTTAGGGTAGCCACTTGGAATATAATGGAGTTGGTAGATGTTATGATTAGGAGGAAAATTAGTATAGCTTGCGTACAAGAAACTAAGTGGACGGGTGAGAAGGCTAGGGAAATTGAGGATACCGGTATTAAACTGTATTATAGTGGTAAGGATAGGCGCAGGAATGGGGTAGGAATCTTAATTGCCAAGGGTTTCGTGGAAAATGTAGTAGCGGTCATTAGAAAAGGGGATAGGATTATGTTAGTTAAACTAGTTATTGGAGAGAATATAGTGAACGTTAATAGTGCATACGCCCCTCAAGTAGGATTAGATGATCAGACTAAGAAGGATTTTTAGGAGCAAATGGATGAGATCTTATAGGAGATACCCGTAAGAGAGAACCTGGTTATAGGTGGAGATTTTAATGGCTATATAGCCATAGATAAACTAAGCTATGAAATGGTGTATGGTAGATACGATTTTGGTAACAGAAATGAGGCTGGAGAGAGTATCTTAGATTTTGCGTTGGCTTCTGACCTGGTGGTGGCCAATACTATGTATAAGAAGAGCGAGGAGCATTTGATAACCTTTAAGAGTGGGTCAATTAAGAACCAAATAGATTACTTTTTAGTGAGAAAAGTGGAATGTCTAAAATGCAATGATTATAAGGTGATTCTTGGAGAGAGCCTGACCTCTTAACAGAAGATTTTGGTACTAGATTTATGTTTTAGAGGGCAATACCAAGCGAGGAAGGATAGTGGGCGTCATAGGATGAGATGGTGGGACTTAAAAGGGGATAAACTAGAAATATTTAAGAATAGAATAGATAAGGAAGGTACTTGGGTCTTGGAAGATGATGCTAACATTATGTGGAACTCGAAGGCCAATTGTATGAGGAGAATCTCAAGGGAAGTGCTTGGAGAGTCGAAAGGAACAGGACCCAACTCTAAGGAAACTTTGTGGTAGAGGGAAGGGGTTTAAACGGTAGTTAAGGCAAAAAAAGAGTGATTCAAAAAGTGGCAAAATGATAGAACTGCGGAAAACCCTAAGAGCTATAGATTGGCTAATAAGGATGTTAAGAAAGTAGTGAGAGAGGTTAAGTTGAAAGCTTATGATGATCTATACACTAGCCTAGATAGTAAGGAGGGAGAAAAGACGATATACAAACTTGCTAAGATACGGGAGAGGAAAACAAGAGATTTTAATCAAGTTAAGTGCATCAAGAGTGATGAATCTAAGGTATTGGTAATGGATGAAGAGATTAAGGAAAGATGGAAGAACTATTTTGATAAACTATTAAATGAGGAACATGAAGGTATGGCAATAGGGGAAGAAATAGCCAGTAATACGATAAACCAAGACTATAGGTTCTATTGCAGGATTAAGAACTTTGAAGTAGAGATTGCACTTAAGAAGATGAATTCAAATAAGCCTTTAGGACCAGATGATATTCCTATTGAAGCTTGGAAGTGTTTGGGTAAAAAAGGGGTTGCTTGGTTGACTAGGTTGTTTAGCAAAATTTTGTTGACTAGGACCATGCCAGATGGGTGGAGAAAGAGTATTTTAGTGCCAATCTATAAGAATAAAGGAGATGTCCAGAATTGCAACAACTAGAGAAGAATCAAGCTAATGTGTCATATAATGAAAGTGTGGGAGAGGGTGATAGAACGCAGATTGCGAGATATAACGAAGGTGTCAAAGAATCAATTTGAGCAGTGTTTTTTAAGGCGAAAAGCGAACCGAGGCGACAAGGTCACCTAACGCCTAAGCGCGAGGCGACGAGGCGAGGCGAGGGCTTCATCGAAGCGAGGCGACCAGAAATGATATTTTTTTTAAATAAATGGTATAGACAAAAATATAAATATTTTCAAGAACCATCATGCAGTTATCATTCCAAATACTAAATATCCATAAACAAAAGAAAATATCCAACAAAGACAAATACAATCCACCAATCCAAAAGTTCTAAAAATCATCTTCAACATCAAGCAAATGAACTTCTTCTTCATTATCATTGGCTTCAGCATATCCCTCTGCATCTTCTTCCTCTCCCCCATCTGAAATTGACTCTTCCTCATCAATAAGTTGCAATCTAGGTCTAGCTGCTGATTTTGAAGTTGAACAACCCCTTTCTATTGCCCTTGTTGATCTAGTTCTTTGACTACTTTCCTCAACTCCAGCAGCTCTAGCAACATCATCCCATGTCAAAGTATCATCCTCAAAGACAAGTTCCTCCTCCATCCTCCCAACCAACCACTCGTTACTTTCATCAATATCCGTCAAAGCAATGGGATCAATAGTGTCACGGGAATTGTATCGACGTCTCAATGCTCTATTATACTTAACAAATACCAAATCATTCAGACGTTTTTGAGCTAACCTATTTCTCTTTTTGGTGTGAATCTGCAAAAATTCAAACCAAATAAAAATATTCAAATTTTTATCTAGGTATTAATAAATTTAATGGTATTCATATTCACTATAGTTAAAAATAGGTACTCACATGTTCAAACACACTCCAATTCCGCTCACATCCAGATGAGCTACAAGTTAGACTAAGAATTTTGATGGCGAATGTTTGCAAATTTGGCGTTTCAGAACCATATGCACTCCACCAATCAGCTGTTGATTATAACTAATTAATTAGAAAGAATATTTAAAATATAAAAAACTAACTAAAATTACTTAAGTATAAAATATAGATCACCTGGTGCCCTTGAAGTTTTTTGTCTAATGGCCAAAGCCATCCCAAGAGACCATCAACTTTCTTATAGGTAGTCAACTCTGCGCAAACTTTATCTTGTGTCTCATTGCTTGGGACCAACCTTTGTATGCATTTATACAGGCCTGACATGACTTCCTTATCTTTCTCAATATTCGGATTTGCGTAAAAATACTCTGGGTTTAAATAATACCCAGCTGCATGCAAAGGCCTATGCAATTGAACATTCCATCTATTGTCAATTATTTCAAAAAACTCCTTGTACTTCTCTTCATTTCCATTAAATGATTTTGCAATGGCTTCTTTAGCCCTATCCATTGCCTCATAAATATATCCCATGGGAGGCTTTCTCTCACCATCAACCAATCGCAGTACACGAACAAGAGGACTTGATATTTTGAGAGCATAAAGAACATTGTTCCAAAAAGAAGGCATCAATATGACTTGTGCGGTCTTTTACCCTGTGGTTCCTTCGCCCATTTGCTTGTGGTCCATTCCTCTGAAGTGAACATCTTCTTCAAGTTGGTTTGTTGTTGATGAATCCTTGATAAAGTTAGAAAAGCAGTTGCAAATCGAGTTTTTGCTGGCTTGATCAAATCCTTGCACTGGGTAAATTGCCTCATCATATTCAACAAACCAGAGCAGGGCTGTAAGACGGGGAGGTTCCATAAGAGCAAGCTGATCCCAGAGACCCGTCATCTCAACATAAAAATCCTGAATAGATTTATCCCGCTGACGAGCATGCTGAATAGCGGACTCTAACTCATACCGTTTGGCAAAGTTAGACTGTTGATAGACACCAAATAAGTATTCCCACACCTCTTTGGCAGTAGGATATTTGGAGAACATCATTCCAATGCGATCTTCTACAGAATTATGAAACCAAGTCAGAATTTGAGCATTGTCACAATCCCATGTGTCACAAGCAGCTAGATAATTGTCCTGTTTTGGATCCAAAGGACGTGGTATAGACCCAGACACATAACCCCATTTTTTTCGACCCGTAAGAAAATTCTTCATAACAGTGGACCAATAACCATAATTGGCACCAGTGAGCCTACAGCTGATAGCCTGAATTTTATCATCCGACATGATGATACTAAAGAACCAAGAAACTTGAAACTTTGGGATCAAATTATAATTTCTGAGAACCTTGGGTAAAAGAGTAATAACCAGACTACTTCTTCTTCTTCTTCTTCCTTTTTTTTTTTTTTTTTTTTTTTTTGTTTTTTTTTTTTTTTTTTTTTTTTAAAAAAAAAAAAATTTTTAAAAATATGAGAAAAAAAAATTAAGATACATATATTTTGGAACAAAAAGTAATTTTTTATAATTATCTTATGAGACTTGTATCTC